ATTTTGAAGATTAAGTCTTTGATTTGCAGCTATAGAACTATTTGTTTTTATGCATAGTTCAATTTTCTTGAATTTTAAGTTAGTGTTAACCTTCACCAAACTTCAGAAAGTACTTACAAAATTTTTAGTAAAAAAATATCTTACGATTTGGAAGATTTATTCCCTGATTTTTATCTTTGAATTAGTTGTTTTTATATATAATAGAGTTTTGTTGAATTTATAGTAAGAGTTAGTCTTAACCAGACTTAAGAAAAGAACTAGGAGTTATATTATGTTAAAGAAATATATATTTTCATTCCTTAATTATAGCATTAGAATTATTTGTTTTTATATATGGTGGAATTTTCTTGAACTTAAACGAATTGAAGAAAAGTACTTCCAAATGTTGTATTGAAGATATGTCTTAAAAATTTCATATAAGATCTATTCTATATATGATTTCTTAGTGCCCTAAAGATTATATTTCTTTCTTCTTTTAAAAACATTAAAATTTTCCTTTTATTAAAAGGGGTAGAGTTCCGGGCATTTCTACCTACCTACCTCTTCAATCAGTTCAATAATACTCTTCCTTTCAATCACTCTTATTTTATAGATTTTATTTACCAGTTTGACAGTTGCGGAAATACAAATAAATATTTCTGTTTACTAACAAAATTTACAGGCTATAAATAAATGTGAAAAAAGACAACCCAGTGGAAAAGGAAGGGAATGCAGATAAGTGGAAGCAGTAAAGGGAGCAGTGAAAAAAAAGAACATTACCATTATCAGAAATGCAGTTTCTTTTTTCTCTTGTTTACATTCCTTTTTCTTTCCTCTCTCTCTCTCTCCTGCTGTTGTCCTTGTCTGCGGGCTGATAAAAATAAAATTCAATCCACAAACAAGAAATATATTTTCAACGCGAGACGCGACAACAATAAAGTAAACAAAATGAAATTGCTTTCCTTCGTCATATTTTCCATCCTCGTCTCGTCTGAGACTGAGACTGAGACTGGCGACTTGTTGAAACTATTTCAAGCGCAAAAAGAAACTTCAATAACAATCCATCAATAAGGTCTCACTCGAGTGAGATAAAGATACTCGAAAGCCAGATAAAGATACTCGGGCGTGCTGCCATCTCTGTTACTCAATTAGCATGCTTTTGTGAAAAATTTGTTGAATCTCTTGTTTAATGAAGTTCTATATCCAAAAGGCAATGCCTAGCCATTGAAAATATTGTCTGGGAAGTAATCAATGAAGTTTTATCTTTGAAAGGAGTTATGAAAAAGGTTTCTTATAAAATTAATTAGATTTGTTTCAGGAAGGAGAAAGTTTTATGACAGTATATTTATTTTTAAAAACTGTTTAATGGTGGAAACTTAAGTAAACTGAACTCTATTATTTAAAGAATATAAAATATGGCAGAATATTATTTTAAATGGATTATATTAATAATATACAATATATTTTATATAATATTCTTTGCCATATTTGAATATACCTTATTGAAATGTTAATTTAAAAAGATGTTTCTTCTCAAAGGTAGATATATGTATAAAGATAAAGTCTTTATTTATTTCTTTCTTATAAGAAGTTGAACTGGTTATTTACAAATCACTTGAAGATATTGCTTATGACACATACATACATATATTTATGTATCTTATCTTATCAAAATTATGGGCAAATGTTGAAAAAATCAGTTTATTGAATAAACCAAAGTGATAAATATTGCAAATAACATAAAGTAATAATACAAAGATACCTAAGATGGTGTAGTTTTCATTGAATATGATCAGCAATACTTTGAAAATAATACATAAGAAACTTGGTCCAAACAATTGTTTAATAGTATATAAGAAATTTTTATAAAAGAATATATTCTTTAATTTATTTAATTAACATTCGGATATTTATTATTATTATGTAGTATATAATGTGATTCATTATATATTATTGTATATTATATTATTTAACTAATCCTAACCCTTCAAACCCATTTTATTTATACCTACACCATAGAAACCCTTCTTTTCTTTATCCCACTGACCAACTCATCGGAAAAAAAACAAAAGTATCTATATATCTATAAGATATCTTCAGTACCAGTTCCAGTTCCACTTTTAATCAATCAAAAAACAAGACAACACAGAAGAGAAATATAACAAATCTTTAAAGTTCTCTCTGCGCCTGCCACCTTGTCATCACTTGATGCAGTCAGATACATGTGTATCTGTATCTATGCATCTGCTAAGCTCAAGCACAAAGCAACAATTATAAACCATGACAAGAGCAGCAATGGCAACAGCAACAACAATGAAATGCATTATTATTATCAGCAAAAATACATGACAAAAGAGTGGACAGAGCGAGAGAGAGAGAGAGAGAGGGATTTTGATGGAGATATATATATGTATATATATATAACATGAGGAGAGAACAAGACGGACAGAGATTATGCTTTTGTGCCACGCGTACAGGAAATTATATAAAACAAGTTTCTGGGCAAAGAGAGAGAGAGAAACGGAGGGGGACAGAAGCAAGCAAAAACAATGAGAAAAACGCAATGCAGTTGCAGCTATTCATATGAGTGTGTATCTGTGTGTGTGTGTGTGTGGGTGTGTGTGTGTGTGGAGGAACATCATCGTATGGCAACAGAAAATGTTGTTGCAAATACAATAAAGCGTTCTTCTCGTGCCACAAACACTTGCCTAGAATATACAATTTTCCACCAGCGAAAAGGATGAAAACTCTTCTGGGCGGTGGTTAAGTATACGACACGTTGGCCCCCCACAAAACAAGTAACAAATAAATGAAATGAGTGAATAGAAAAAGCATTAAGACTGGAAAGCGAAACTTTAATTTGCACAGAATCTGTAGATTATACAAGCTCCTGGGGCTTATGGCTCAGATACTGATGTTTGTTTACAAGAAGCTTACCAAATGAGTTTTCCAGGGGAAAAGTAAACGAGATTTAAGAAGCATGTGGCAAAAGTTAAAAGTAGCATTTTTTAACTGGAAACAAGAAAGGAAGCTAACTTTGGCATGCCGAAGTTTGTAAATCCTTGCAGATTGAAATTCGATCACTAGGAATTAATACAATATAAATTATATATGATATAGTAGTCCGATTTTCAACAAAATCTTACACAAAATTCTAGATTAATATAAAATTGCTATATTTGAAATTTGATACAAATTTGTTGAAAACTGGAAAAGTTATAATTACTTTTCTTAAAATTTTCCTATTGTTCCTATGACAGCTATATATATGTATATATATAGTCCACCGATTTGGCAGGCCCCGACTTATACACTAGTAAAATTATATAGATAAATAACTCCATAGTTTCATTCAAATAGCTTAAATTAGATTGAAATCAAATCTCGCACATCTGTACATATGATTCCCAACTGGTTCTAACATCCCCGGAACGAAGTGTCTTCTGCCCGCCGAGTCTCAGATATGTGTTGTGTTACAAAAAATGCAAGTCATTGTTTATTAGTGTTCAAAGTTAGTAACTGATCATACATAATTACTAGTTAAAGATAATTACTGGTCATAGATACTTACGATTCAGAGTTACTTACTGGTCAAAGTTATTTGATGTTCATAGAAACTTACTGATCATAGTTAATTACTGGTCATAGTTAATTACTGATCATAGTTCTATAAATCGTCCTATTGTTCCTATATAAGCTAAATATATGTGTATATATAGTCCACCGATTTGGCATGCTCCGATTTATAAACTTGTAAAATTATATAGAAGAATAACTCTATAGTTTCATTCAAATAGCTTTAATTTGATCCATAACAAATCTCTCACATCAATGCTTATGATTCCCAACGGGTTCTGACATCCCCGGAACGAAGTGTCTTCTGCCGGCCAAGTCTCAGAAATGTTTTGTGTTACAAAGTTGCAAGTCATTGTTTATTAGTGTTCAAAGTTAGTAACTGATCATACATACTTACTGTTCATTGATACTTACTAGTCAAGGATTATTACTGGTCATAGATACTTACTGCTCATAGTTACTTAATGTTCATAGAAACTTACTGATCATAGTTAATTACTGGGCATAGATACTTATTGTTCAGAGTTACTTACTGATCAAAGTTACTTACTGGCCATTGATACTTACTGATCATAGTTAATTACTGAATATAGTTATTTACTCTTTACCTTCTAATTAATACCACATAAATTTGTAATCTAATTAATAATTTTTTTAAAGTGCTTAATAAATGTAATATTTTCCCTTATTTACTCTCTTGCGGATTCCATTTCCCTGGAGGCCTTTTTTCTTCACAAGAACCTTTTTCGAGGGACTTACGAGTTTACCTTTCTCCCACAGACAGACAGAGAGACCCTTCATTGTCTGTTGCCACTCGTAGTTCTTTCTTTGAATCATATTTTTTTCGAGATACATTTAGGCTTAAACCTTAACCCTTGCTTGCAAAAATAAAAAAAATAAAAGGAGGAAAAACCCCAGCAAGGTGATGAGATGGTAGAACTTAGACTTTGCCTGCGGCGGCACAAAAGAGGCAACCCCCTTTTGGAACACTTGGCGCCTTTTACTCATTTCGTCTTGGGGTTTTTCCTCTTTTCCTCTTTTCCTTTTTTTTTTTTGTTTTTTTTTGTTTTTTTGGTCCCCCATCATCATCATCATCAGCATCCTCATCTCACCATGTGGAATGGTAGAGAAATGGTAGATGTTAGTTCGGTTCATGGAGAAAGGGGGCTCGGCTCGACTTGGCTTTGGCCCTAAGTGTTTCTTGTAACTTGAGTCTTCAAGTGGCCAGCTGGCATTTGCCTTTGCACAGCTTTTTTTCTCTCTGTGTGTATATATGTGTGTATATTCTTTCTTTCTTTCCTTCAAGTGCGGCAACTTATGTCAAGCCGTGGCGTTTTGTTAATAATAATACTGTAAAATATAATATTGTATGTAAGAAACAAAAGAGATGTACAAAAAATGTTAATACAATTTTCTCTCTCTCTATGTTTGTGTGTTTCTTGCAGTGTTTCATACGTTTTCGTACTCGTTTTTTGTGTGAAGAAGCCAAAAACATTATCATCATTATCATTATCATCAAGAGAGAAACAACGGGCACATCTAACGCTGCAGCTAACAGATGAGCCCCAACAACAGATGTCAATTGCTGCAGCCGAAAATGCAGGGTAAGTTAAGATCACAAAGGGGGAATCCCCGGGGTTCAAAAGGGGGTTTTTTAGCAGCTAATTAGATGGATTTGCTGCAAATCTGGGATTTTTGGAGGGGTTAATCTCGGTATTAGGGTTGAATTTAGCTTCAAATATACCAATTAAACTTTGCATTTAATAATTAGAAATGTATATCTATTACTAAAAGCAATTAATAATTCGGTTCGGTTCGGAAATGGAAAAAACCTTCATTTATCACCGGGACAAAGTCTGGCCTCTGTCTCTGGCTAGACATTTAATCTAAAAAAATGATATAACTGTGGTCCTAACACTCATGTGCCAGTCATTAGAAGCTCATTGAATATTGCGACATCACGCATGTTGTGTGTATATATATTCTATATACATATATATATTTCTTTTTTCTCTGACGAAATCATTAATTGCACACTTTGGTTCGTATGAGTATTTCACAGTTACAAATACGTATCTGTATCTGTTCGCTCTCTCTGTATCTGTATCTGTATCTCTGGAGACTGCATTCTATGTCTCACAGCTTCTCTCTTTCTCTCTCTGTTTCCCTCTTTCTCTCTCTTTCTCTACACATTCTCTACAATATTTTGGCGCATATTTCGTTAGGTGATTTATGGTTTCTCTTCGTTTGTTACTTTTTCTCATAATTTGAGGGCCTTTTTTTAGGTGGTATTTTTGTTACTTTGGTATTTTGATTGAAATTGATTTTATTACTCGTTTTTTTATTAGTTTAACTCGGGAATTGTGTGTGTGTGTGAGAAATTATGTGCCGAATTTTTATGTTTTTATTTTCGCCCTCAGCGCGGGTTTTATTGCTGAACTTGTTTGGTTTTTTTTGTGGGTTTTTATTTTATATATCCGAAACTGAGCTCCATGGCAAGTGCCATTGGAGATTTCGAAAGCAAAAGGGGCCATAAAAAGGCCACTTGGCAACCAAGGGTTAATAAGGGGCTTATCTAAAAGATTTTTAAAGATTTTCTAATTTTCTCAACAATTTAAAGTCCATTTAGAAAGTTCTCAAGCAAATCCAATATTTAAATAATGCTTTTTATATAGAAATAAATTTAAAACCTATAAATTATCTTGTAAAAAACTATTAAATTCCTATTGTTTAAGGACTTTCTTGTAGTCTCTGCAATTAAATCATGAAACCTGACTTGGTGTTGATATTTTTTTATTTTACCGCCACTAATTGTCATTGAAAATATAAAAACCAAAAAAAGTGAAAGCGCGCAATGAGAGTGCGGAGTGTGTAGTCTAGTGTAAAAGCAAAATAAAAAAAATAAAACATAATAAAAACGTTTAATAAGTTTTGGAAAATCCATCAATTCCAAAGATGAGTAATAACTGAACATTTTTCCAAGCCAAATTCATTTTATTTTAGGCCTATGAAATAGTTTTTTTTTGTTTTTGACTTTGCAGCCATGAAAAATGTGAAACAACTTTATTTCATTGTCAGTGGGTCTGCCTCTCTCTCTCTCCCTCTCTCTCTCTATCTCTCTCGCTCTGACTCTGTGGAAAACCGGCTTGAAAACGCTGAAAAATGAAAAACAAAAAAAAGCGATTACGCTCGCAAGCCCGAAACTAGAAAATGAAAGTGAAAGTAGGCCAAACTCATCAGCATGCCCGATTCCGACTTTGACTTGGACTCAGAGACTCAACAAACTCAGCAAACTCAGCAAACTCTAGCTCATCGGGTCTATGTGTCTGTAGGCCTATCTAAAATATATATCTCTACAGAAAACAATGCAATCACTCCACTTCACCGCACACACACCACATCTTCACACACACACCGCACACACTCCGCTGGGGATTTGACTTTGCTTCACTTTCGTTTTCAGCGGACAAGTCTCTCTTTTGGCCTATGAAGAAAAGTGAAAATGATTCAGTGAAAATCTTGGCTTTGGGAAAGCGTTATTACGGAGTGTGTGAGAGTGTGAATGAATGCGTTATGAAATTGGTCTTTATAAGGGGTATCTTTAGAGGGTCAATAGGGGAGTTAAAGAGGTCTACAATAAGTGTTTAGAAGGAAGGAAATGAATATATTAAGAGTTAAGATTTTAGAGATGTTAAACGAGTCTTAAATATTTATTTCAATTTTAATAAAATCTTTATAAATTTAGATACAAGAATTACCTAGAATTGTGAAAAAACTTAGCTTGATTACCTTAGCAAGAATCATTTTGTTGACCAAGCATATAAGATTATACTGAAATATTATTATTTATGGGATTGCATTGACTTGACTTGATTGTGTTTGATAAGATAACACAATGAACAAGTTAAGGTTAAAGCCAATCAAGTAATATTGCCTTATAAAACGTATAACTCTGGAATAAAGAAATTATTTTAAGTATATATATATAAGACAATATTACTAAAACATTCAACTCTGAAATAAAGACTTTCCTTTCCTATGTTCAATTTAAATTCAATTTAAACAAAGTATCCGTATAAATTCCCAATTTCCTTGCCTAATTGACCTTCAGTTTTTTTTCCCACCAAAAATTGGCCTTATCCCTACCCTCAAAATGTAGACCAACTTTTTTTCACAGTTCAATAAGTTTCAAAAAGCGAAAATGTTACTTTAGCCAAGAGGCAACCGCAACTACGACAGGAAAATAAATGGCTGGGAAAAAGGGCATTAGGAGGCAAGACCTCGGGACTGGACAAACCATCTATAATTTACTTTTTTTAAGCGCCTCAAAACATACATTTTCCATTTGGCAACAGCTATTCTCACCAGCAACAACAACAACAACTACAGTAACAAGAGGAACAATAACGATAACGATACCGATAACCGCCCACACACACATACATATATATATATATATATGTATATATATACATATATAGATATAGCTCCACAGTAACAGCAATCGACACTTGGCTCCGCCCAATAACAAAAAACACGAAAATTCGCCTCTCCATCTCCAATTTTTTTGTTTTTTGGTCGCTCTCTTGGCGAGAAGAAATTATAAGCCGCTTACATAACAATCAATGGGCCTTAAGAGTGCACAGGGCGGACCATGTTACCATATCTGTTTGGGGTTCATCTGCAGGGGCGTCCTAGAATAAAATTGAGGGGAGACCATTAAAAAATTTCCAAATTCCATTTCAGGGGAACAACTAGGAAAATGTTAAAATAGGAAATACTAAAAGAAGACAGGTTTCTAAAGTTAACAAAGGGATTTTCGATTGTATCTTAATATTAGTTTGCTGGATCTTGTAGTTTTTTGAAGATTGCAAGGGTATTCTATGGTCTCTTTTCTTTTGTTGCTTGGTTTTGTGATTCAAAAACAAGAAAGGAAACTAATTTCGGGATGCCAAAGTTGATATACAATGCAATTATATTATAAGAATCGTAAATCGATCATAAATAAGCTTAAAATATTCGCACATTTTGAACCGATATTTATTAATATTTTATATAACCATTTTGTCGACAAGTCAAAGATGAAAATCTCATACTATGCTAAAATTGCATTAAATTGAATTCGGAAAGCTTTTATATGTTACTAGTTATTTGTTTATAAATCTGCATACTTATTTTCCGCGTTGCATTCTTCAGACTGAATTATGACACTCCCAAGTGGACATTTACATTTAAATATTTACTAAAATTTTCCTTACAAATTTAGGACAAGTGAAAGGGTAAAACTTTCATAACTAAGTCAAAAATGCATTAAATTCAATTCGGAAAGCTTTCCTATGTTAGTTTTTATTAGGCTAATCAATCTGTATACTCAATTATAGTTACAAAAATTAAATTTTTGCTAATTTTTTAAAGTGTTAATCCGTTATTTTTATTGGAAAAAAAATTGAAAAATTGTTAAAATTTTATCTTCAATTGAACATGGCTAGATCGATTCAGCTTTTAATGCTGATCAAGAATATATATGATTTATAGGGTTGGAAATGATTCCTTCACTACGTTTCAAGCTTCTAACTGAAATAATAATACCCTGGCAGGTCATTAAAAAATTACAGCTTTCTCTGGTTTTGTAGTACCAAAAAAGTAATCAAAAACATTAATTTAAATTACCTGATATCATAAAAATTAAAATACATTTAATATACATATTCCCAACCCCTTTTTTAGATAGCCTGTTTCCCTCTACGCCCCTGTTTCGTAGGCCTCTTCCACCAGAGAGTGTGAGCATGTTGCCATGTTTTATTTTATTATTATTTTTTTTTTTTGCTCGCCCTAATTGCACTGGGCGTGGCAGGCAAATTAAATTCGTAAACAGATTTCATCGTTGCCACGGATTGGGGGGTAAATACTCATCGTCATGTTCTTAAATTTTTCCTATTGCTGAATGCAATCAGGCAAGTGGCATGAGGAAAATTCAGAAAAAAAAACAACAACAACAACAATGAAATCATGGAAATACCAAGAAAATGAGAAAAAAGAGAGCTCGTCTCGTTGACGCCCAATAGGAAACTTTTTTTTATGACTTACGCTTTTGTTGCTGTTGGCCCTACACTTTGTCATTGCTTTGGATAAAGAAGAAAATTCTTTCCCCTTCTTTCCCCACCATGAAAAGTATTTGCGCAAAAGAGAAAAAATTATCGCATTTTATTTTCATCCTTATCAGACGCATTTTCCCTCTGGCTCCACTCGCACACGCCCTTTGTGTGTGTGTGTCGCCTAACCGAAATTTATATGCAGACAGCGCGATATTGCAGTTTTCCCAACCCCTTGGGGCCCCCCTTTATCTTTGGCTTTTCCGCCACACCCCGCTCCCCTTGGTCAGGGAGTAGGAAAATAATTTTCGCTTTTGTTATTACACACAAACATAGTGTTTGTTCTTCTTCTCTGACTGTCTTTTTCTTCTTGGCAATTGCTTTCAATTTTTATAGGTTTTTTTTCGACTGCATATGGTCAAAGCAGACAAAATAGATATTTATGGGTAAGATAGCAAGAATACACTAGAAAAAATAGCTTCATAATACAGAAAAATGTGAATTTAATTAAA